TTGAACTCATGGCTTCACACTTGCTGGATAGGTACTCTACCGCTTGAGCCACTTCTGTTTTGTATTAGGTACTTTTGAGATAGGGTCTCTTGAACTATTTGTCCAGAGCTGGCTTCAAACAGCGATCCTAATTCTCTTTATTTATGTCTCCTGAGTAGCTAGGATTACAGGCATGAGCCATCAGTGTTGGGCTACTTTTTTGCCATTATAGATTAAAATAAAGTTTCTGTCTCCTCTCCTTTGAGGACTTCAGTTATACTATATTAAGCTACTTTTTTTTTTCTTGAGGGAACTGTGGTTTGAACGCAAGGCTTTGTGCTTGCAAAGCAGATGCTTTACCACTTGAGCCATTCCTTCACTCTGTTTTGCTCTGGTTATTTAGGAGATACGGGTCTCACAAACTGTTTGCCCAAGGCTGGCCTCAAACCTCCATCCTTGATCTCAGGCTCCCAGGAAGCTAGGATTATAGGCATGAGCCACCAACACCCTTTTTCTCCAGGGCCTTTATGTGGTTCCTTAAACTCACCAACCAAATTTACATCCTCTTCTCATCTCCAGGAAACACAAAGCAAATCTTCTGAATGCCCCTTTCATGAGTAAGGGAATTGAGATTCAGGGAGGCTAAGTGAATTTTGCACCAAAGTTGGATGAGGTAAAGCTAGGATTAGACTAGGGTGTTGACTTCCAGGCCTCCAGCTACATCCACAGTAAGCAAACTATGATCCATGGGCCACATCCATCTTCTTCCTCCTTGCACCTGTTTTGTAGATAAAGTTTTATTGGGAATACAGTTATGCCTACTTGTTTATGTATTGTCTATAAGCTTTTCCACTAGAATGGCATCACTGAGTAGTTGTTAGAGATGGCATGGCCTGCAAAACTAAAAATACTTATTATCTGGCACCTTTTGCAGAAAATGTTTGCTGTATCATGCTGTTTCTGTGAACTTACACAGACTTTTTTCTTTTTTTACTCTTGCCTCAGGATTATTTGTACAAGTAGCACAGGAGGATGTCAGCCCCATGTGGACAGTCCCTAGAGTTCACACATTGGCAGACAAAGGCCTTGACCATGGAGCCTTTGTGGGGGTCTAGGCACCTTTGGAGATGGAGCTGGAGTTGGAGCTGCAGCTTGAACCTTGGTTTTGGTCTTGGACTTGACCTTTGGCTAGCAGAAGCTGAGATACTTGCTAATGTGGATATGAGCACACACTTCCCAGGCTTAGGGTGAGTGGTGTTGGCAAGTTGATCAAGTTGACACACTTTAAGATCTTGGGCTTAACTTCCTTCTTTTTTTTTTGCAATACTGGGGCTTTAACTCAGGGCCTACACATTGAGCCATTCCACCAGATCTTTTTTTGTGGAACTATTTGCTTGAGCTGGCTGTGAACTACAATCCTCCTGAGTAGCTAGGATTATAGGTGTGAGCCACCAGCACCTGGCTTTTTTTTTTTTGATAGGGCCTTGATAAGACTCAGAATATGCACGACCTTGACGCTGTTGGCCTGCATCTCCTTCAGTCCTTTCTTGTTGTGCTCCTTGGCAAAATGCATGTTCTTCAAGAACTTTGGGGTTTAACCTCTTAATAGATTCATATATTTGTGACTGGGGTTTCTTAATATCATTTTTGGGGCTGGTTGTGTGTGGTGTGGTTCTTGGACATGCCATGTCTATACCATACCCTGACTTTTTCTAATTCTAAGGCTCACTTATTTTAAAACTTTAATTGGAGGAGGTGTTCTCTCTGATGCTTAGTGAGATATCACAATTTCATTTTTTTTTTTTTGATGTGGTGGTAGTACTGGGGTTTGAACTCTGGGCCTTGCTAGGCAGGCACTCTACCACTTGAGCCATTCTGGCAGTCTTGAGGTAGCACAATTTAAATCTTGAAAACCCACTTTCTTTTAGGGCAGCTCTAGTTGCTTAGTTATAGGCTATTTCAAAAGCACTGGAAAGGAAGAGAAAAGAGCCAGCTTAAAAGATTGTTGGGTCCTAAAAAAAAAAAAGATTGACGATCTTCTGATACAGAGTTCTTCAGCTTTTGTGAATGAATGAATATTGGTATGTACAAAGGAAAAGGTCTGGAAGGATACATATATTTGGTGGGTGGTGACTTTGGTGAAAGGAGAGATATTTAACTCTACTGTGTGTCTGTGTTTATGGTACAACTGTATTTTTGCAAGTAAAAACACAAAAACATGCTTGGTGTATGTGTGTGTGTGTGTGAGAGAGAGAGAGACTTTCCCAGTGGTGTTTAAGGAAAGAATCTTTCTAGAATGATGGATGCAGCTGTGTTTTATAAAGAGATGGTTGACTTAATGACCTCACTTGCCCCTGGCATCCATGATAGATTGACTGTCCCAAACTCCCCAGGCTCTACATTCCTTGATGAGTAGAGAGCTGAAAGAAATATCCAGGATGAAGTAGGTTCTACAATTTCTGCAGAGGCAAATGGATGTCGTAGTTATGTTTGGACATATAATTGCCACTCATTTCCCATTTTCCAGTAAGCTAGTGTGGATGTCAGAACCTAGTCATGGAATATTTCCCTTTTCTTCAGAATGTTTCAAGATTTAAATGGATAATTATTTTAATTAAAAAATTACAAGTAATGGGATGAGTGCAGCCCAGTTGTAAAGTATGTATAAGCAAAGTCCTAGATTCAATCCCCAGCACACACATATGTGTGCACGTGTGCGTGCACACACACACATACACAAAATGGTAAAGCATTCAAACAAGAAAGATGCATATAAAATAAAAAGTGAGTCCTGGACAAGTGGCTCAAGCAGTAGAGCACCTGCCTAGCAAGTGCAAGGTCCTGAGTTCAAACCCCAGTCTCTAATAATAATAGTAATAATAATAAAATAGTAAAGTCTTCCCTTTAAATGGCACTCTCCAAATGACTGCTTATAATTTGTTATTAGGACATCTGCAAATAGATTGCTTTTTGTTTATATTCAAATATTCACTTTTTAACAAAAGGACATCATACTGCAGATAGGTAAGCATTTTCATTTTCACTTAATATATCCTGGGCCATATATAGATATATTTAGATTTATTTCACTCCTTTTTTTTCATCACTGGGATTTGAACTCAGGGCCTCACACTTGCTAGGCAGGTGCTCTACCACTTGAGCCACTCCACCAGCCCCATTGCACTCTTTTTAATGGTTGTATAGTTCACTGTATGACTGTACCATTATTTATATAACAAGGTCTCTATTTACCATATAAATTGGTCCCCTTTTTGTTGCAATTGCAGTGATGCAACACTAAAATCTCTGTACACAAATATTTGGGTTATAGGGCAAATGTTTTTTCAGATACATTTAAAAGATGAATCATTTATTTTTACTTTTTGTATGATTGGGGATTCAACCTGGGGCCTTGAGTAAGCAATCTACCACTGAACTAGATCTCAGCCCCTAAATTAAAAAAATTATTAGGACATATAATTGGACAAAGTATTGGGTTTCATTATGACATTTCCATAGATGCATATAGTATATGCATGTGTTCATGTAATGTGTACATGTAGTGTTTGATCACATTTACCACTCCCATTTCTTTTTCTTAACCTCCCTTTCCCCTGCCACATCTCTAATTGTCCCCCTCTTATTTTCATATCCTTTTCCCCACTTAGAGTCCACATATGAGAGTAAACATTTGATACTTGTTTGTGTGAGACTGGCTTATTTTACTTAACATGATGATCTCTAGCTTCATCCATTTTGCTGCAAATGAAATAATTTTGTTCTTTATGGCTGAACAAAACTTCATTGTGTGTATAGTCACCTTGGCTGATTCCATAATTTGGCTATTGTGAATAGTGCAGCAATAAACATGGGTCTGCATGTATCTCTATGGTATGCTGACTTTGATTTCTTGGGTATATACGCAGAAAGTGGTATCGCTGGATCATATATGCTAGTTCTATTTTTAATTTTTTTGAGGAATCTTCATACTGGTTTCCATAGCACCCAGTCCTTCTATAAGGTTATTTCATCCTGGTGTGTTGGCCCCAGGCCTGTCATCCTAGCACTCATGCTGATGCAGGATTGTGAGTTTGAGGCCAACCTGGGCTACATAAAGCCTCTAAAAGAGAAAAAGGTCATCCAATTTATCTTTATTTATTTGTCGTTTTCCTATTTCCATCAAGGGTGAAGATTTTTGTTTTATTAGCCATTCACGTTGCCTCTTGGATTGCTTTTCTTTGCCTTTGGTCTTTTTTTGTTTTTTTTCAGACTGGGTTTACCTATGTTGCTCAGGCTAGTCTTCAAATCTCACGCTCAAGCCCTTCTGTATCTATTTGAGCATTAGGATATTCACTATATGGAGACTTGTAAACTTACTGTTTTGGCGGTACTGGGGATTGAATTTAGGGCCTCACGCTTGCTAGGTAGGCACTATCACTCGAGTCACTCCACCAGTACAAAACTTGTAATTTTATGTAGTTAAATTGTCAAGTCTTCCTGTATTGCTTCTGGATTATTGCCATGCTCAGAGACATGTCCTTTTCAGTGATTATCAAAATATTCTATTTTTCTTCCACTACCTACATGATCTTGCCCTTAATGCTTGTATCTTTAATGCAATCACACACATTAGTTCTTGTGACGGATGTAAGTAGGGGTCCTCTGAAGGTAATTTTTCTCCAATCTGATTTGTGGGGAAGGGGTTTCAGCAAGATTTTACCAAGTAAAGAAGGAAAACAGAAAGCTGGGGAAACCTCTTTGCTTCCTCCCCTCCACGTGCTAGGTAGTTTGCATATAGTGCGTGATTTTATCTTTCAGCGAGTCCTTACAATTCTAATTTGTAGATAAGGAAGACAGGCGTTATAAGCGCCCGGCAGAGTAGGTAATGTAGGGGACCAGACCAGGTCACAGGCCCGCACAGAACGTGATACGTGCAGCATCACGCCAGTTTTCCAACCTCTCGCGACAGTTTTACGTCATCCACCGGCGCCGGTGGCTGGGAAAGTCGCGCGATCCGTGTTGCGCCAAGCTTCGCTCTGCCGTGCTGTCTCACTAGTGAGGCCCAGAGCCGGCGAGTTCCCTACTTTCTCTCGCGAACCTACTGCCTCGGGCTTCCCGCCACGATGGAGTATCTCATCGGCATCCAGGGTCCCGACTATGTCCTTGTAGCCTCCGACCGGGTGGCCGCTAGCAATATTGTCCAGATGAAGGACGGTGAGAGGAAGCAGGGAGGCCCGGCCGAGCCCGGGTTTAGGGGGAGGCAGCCGGAGGGAGTTTGTCTGGTGCTTAGGGGTCCCAGGGAGGTCTTGGAGGTGCTCTGCCCTGCCGGCACTTGAGCGTTTAGAACTAAGAGGGTTGGCGTACGAGCCTCGGGCCCGGCCTTCGCCTAATTCTTCTTGCTTGGCGAGAGCTGCCTGCGGGAATTAGGTCTGTAAAAGTGGAAGCGCCCTCGGGGGCCCGAGCTCCTTAGACCTCTGAGTCTGTGATACGTTTCCGTCGTGACTAGTAGTGAGGTTAATTTGCAGGGGGAAGGGAGGGGCTCAGGTGACATCCTGTTGGAGAGTAAGGTTGTGGGATTTCCCTTCCGCCTCCCAGATCTCCCTGTCGTTCAGCTCCGATCCTCCTGTTCAGCTGTCACTGGCTGCCAGATTTTCCTTACAGTTAGTGCAGACGGGAGACCAGAGCCTACTTGCTTTAGGACTTTGTACAAGTTATTTAGCAGTGCTCAGATTTTCTGATTTGCTAGATTAGTAGTACCCAATCAAAACTTGTTGGGAGGACCGAATGAATGAGTTATGTATAAATGCTTAGCACTTGACAAATATTTGTAATAACGTTAAGCACTTATGTATCAAGTGCATGTTAAGCAATTTACATTAACTCATTGATTTGAAATAGGCACTGTTATTTCTCCACTTCGCAGATGTTAGTTTGAGGCACAGAGGTTAAGAAACTTGCCTAAGATCACAAATAGCAGAGCCTGGGTTCTAACCTGTGTGTTCTGGGTCCAGATCTTTACCCATAACTACTATACTCTGCTATACTGTCTCTCTAATAGTAATCAGTACATAATTTTAAAAGATTTTAGTAGTTGATCTGCAGAATCTAAGAGTATGTTTTCATGATTGATCATAGAGAGCTGTTGTTAAAAAGTATTATGATTTGGCCTAGATGATTTAGTGTGTTTGACAGGTTTTGGGCACCTGTGTGCACTTCACAATGCTAGGTGCTGAAAGAATACAAAAAGAATAAGATGTAGCTCCTATTTTAAAGAAATTACAATTCAATAAGAGATTCAGATATGTGTACAAATAATTATGAGACAAGCTAGAAAGCAGTGTGTCATATGACAAGTCCAGTCAAACTTCTGAGATAATGCAGAGGAAAAGGAGATTGTTCTTAGGTAGAGAAAGAGAGATTCTTTCTGATGAAGAGATTAGAAAAAGTTTTGAAGGCAGATTACAGTTCATCCTGGGTTTAAGGAAAACAAACAAACTACTAGATCTGTGTTTTCCTGAAGTATGTGAATAGAGGCAAAAAAAAAAAAAAGTGTCCACTACTGCTTTTTGTTGTTAAAAACAGACAGGCGTCTATGTTATTGTCAGGTTGTGGCTCCCACCTGGGAAAATGGAACAGACTCTAAGAAACTTTACTGAAGTTCTGTTCTTTCTTTCTGAAGAAATAGGGTCCTGAAAATTGGTTTGTCAAACATCTGTTTTTATGGATTGTTCCTAAGTAAGATTACTTTATGAAATTACATAATAAGTTTTCAAAAGTTGTGTCTGTAAACCAGTCTCCAAAGGAATAAATTTGTTTTGAGAGTAAATTGCCCATTACTTTGAATACCAAGGCCTTTGATGAGCAAGTGATTTTAGCATGAAGTAGTGTTCTAGGTGGAGTAATAACCAAGACAGTACCTTTATAAAGGTCTCTATTTCATCCCAATAATGTATGTAAAATCACTTTGAAAGGTAGTGTACTTTTAAGCTTCTACATACAATACTTCTAGTTGTTAAAGGGGATGCAGCCTATTAGACATAATCCATAGAAGAAACCAAAACATTAAAAGAAAAAGGAGGGCCAGGTATGATGGTGCATTCCTGTAATTCCAGTACCTGGGAGGCAGACTCAGTAGGATCAAGTTTGAGACCCAGCGTGGGCTACATAGCAAGTTCCAGGCCATTCTGGGGCTACATAGTGAGACCCTGGTTCAAGAAACAAAAACAAAGGAAATAAATACTACAAGATGATTTTGTGTGATGAAAGTATTAGTGGTTGTATTAGGTTAGTTTTAAATTAATGATTGTAGGAATAAATCCTATGAATATTCAAGGAAAAGAAAGATCATTATGATATAGAAGAAAGGTGAATTTGAGTTAGTTCTTGAGATGTAGTTGGAAATAATTATACTTTTTCCCCATAGTCTTTTCTGGTATATAAATTTTATGGTAGGATTTTTTAGAATTGTCTGACGACTTCCCCCACCCCCCAACTAGGCATTTCATAAAAGAACTTGTGTAGAATCGGCAACAATGCTAAAAAGTAGTATTTGGGGACTCATTTTCTCCAAGAATAAATGAAAGTAATAGTTCTAGTTGTTTTTTTTTTAGCCTGTCACCTTGTAAAATATTTTAATACATTAAAGAAACTATTTCACCCAAATTGCCTGCTTATTAAAGTTAAGTGGTGCAACTCTTAGTTGGTTATACACTATGCAGCATTTTTTGCTTCTTTTCTCTTGGCTTTCATAGAATTGCTTTTAAGTTACTTTCAGTACTCCAGCCCACACAGAACTCTCTTTGTTCTGAATTCCTATATCATATATAACTGAACTATATTATTTAACAGTGAGTATAATAGTAGTGTGCATGTATAGAATTCATTATAGTTCTCCTCACCTGTAAGTTAGGCAGGGATAAGTGATATTATTACCATTTTACATAATTGGCAACTGATGCTTAGAAAGGCAAATGATTGGCCCAAGTTCAGAGTAATGGGTCCAGACCACAATTGAGGTCTACTGGGTTCTAGTCCATTTGGCTTTATGCAGTACACCCTGATGTTCATTTTGTTGTTCATTTGTTTATGGATCTTACAAACTCCTTGTCAAGGACCATAACTTCCCCAGAACTTTACAGGCAGTTTCTTGTACAACGCAGGGTCATTAGTATCTGTCACTTGTGTTTTTGCATTGTTCTCCACCATTCACTAGATATATTCTCGGTTAAAAAAAAAAATTAGGGGACTGGAGGGATGGCTTAAGTTGTAGAATTCTTGCCTGGCAAATGTGAGGTCCTGAATTCAACCTCAGTATGGCAAAACAAAACAAAAAACCCCCAAAATAATAACAAAAAACCATTTTGGCAGCCAAGCGTTGTGGCTTACACCTGTAATTCCAGCTACTTTCGAGGTAGAGATTAATAAGATTGCTATTTGAAGTCTGCTGTGGCAAAAAGTTAGTGGTACCCCATCTCAATAAAAAAGCTGTGTGTGATGATACATGCCTGATAGGCATAAGTAGAAGGATCACAGTCCAGGCCATCCCTGGCAAAAACCCATGAGACTCTATCTGAAAATAGCTTAAAGCAAAAGGGCTGGAGGTGTGGCTCAAGTGGTAGAGTGCCTGCCTAGCAAGCATGAGGCCCTGAGTTCAACCCCAGTGCTATTAAAAAACCCCCAAAACCCCACAAAAACAAAAACAAAAAAATTTGGCCTTGTATTATTTATTTTAAGATTGAACAGTTTACTGCTTAGAATCTTAGTCTTTTTTCTAAATGTGACATAAATTTCTAAACTTACTCCCCCATAAGAACTTTTTACTTATCATAAAAATAATGCAAACTTATTAAATAATTTTTCTTATATATTAAGTATAGAAATCTAGGAAATACTGATAAGCCAAAGAAGGAAATACAATTGCCCATGTTCTTATCACTGGCAAGAACATAGATTATAACTTTCTGGTCCTTTTTCTTTGCATATATATCTATCTGTAAGTGAATATTTTTATTTTGTGAACAACTTTGCAAACTAACAGTCTTTACATCTCCTATAGCCAATATAAGAAATAAAAAATGTGTCTGTTTAGGAGTTTTAAGGCAGTTTGATATTATCTACAGGCTCATTTTATGTGGATTTTTTTCTCCAAAGTATAAGAATCATATTACTAGTATCTACAACTCTTCAACACTGGTAAAGTACAAATGCTAGTGCATTTGTTCTTTAAATCCTATTAAGGGATTTTGACATTTCAAAAGCTTTCACACAGGAAACATGTCTCCCAGGGAAGATTATTCAGCAGTATTTGAAAAATCAAAAGTGAAAGTAGTGGTAAGTAGGAAGACTTAGGCTTTTTCTGAAATTGCAGACTGAATATAGAGTTTTCTTCCTTAGGCAATAATTGCAATCTTAGTATTTATCTATCTAATCTGAATGAATCTCGTTCAACTAAATATGGTTAGAATATTATGATTTTTGAGGTATTTTAAATAAATTACTATTAGAATATTTATTAGAACTTTTGCTTTGGCAATCAGTTTTCCCTTTTGCTTTGGAAATGGAATTGGAAAGGTGATTTATATTCTCAGTTGATTTTTCTCTTTTTTTCTTGAAATGGTTCCTTAATTTTGAATTCAGTTCCCAGTACTGAAAAAGAAAGAAAAGAAGTGGTGTCTTAATTTTAAATATAGTGTTCTTTTCATATATTGTTTTGTGTGTATGTAAATGTAATAACTGACATTTGTGTTTATAGAAACATTTCAGAGCCTCATAATCATGAGCCTTAAAATAATCACTGTTGGCTGGATTCCTGTCATTTGCTCCATTGTTCTATTCCTTGCATTCTTTTTTTTTGGCAGTACTAGGGTCTGAACTCAGGGCCTCATATTTAGTAGGCAAGCACTCTGCCCCTTGAGCCATACCCCCAGCCCTTTTTGCTTTAGGTTCTTTTTCTTTTCTTTTCCTTTCCTTTCAAGGTGCTGGGGTTTGAAATCAGGGCTGACACCTTGAGTCACTCCACCAGCCCTCTTTTTGTGATGGGTTTTTTCCAGATAGGGTCTTGAGAACTATTTGCCTGGGCTGGCTTCGAATCACTCTGCCTCCTGAGTACAAAGGGTTATAGGCATGAGCCATGGGTGCCTGGCTTTAGGCTGTTTTTCAGATAAGGTCTTGCATTTTTGCCCAGGATGGCTTGGGTCATTATCTTTCTATTTATGCCTCCTATAGCTGGGATGACAAGTGTACACCACCATGCACAGCTTTACTGATTAAGATGGGAGTCTCTTTAGCTTTTTGCTGGGACTGGCCTCAAACTGTGATCCTTCTGATCTCTGCTTCCCATGTAGATAGGGTTACAGATGTGAGCCACCGCACCATGCTATTTCTTGCATTTCAAATGTCTTAAGTTGTGATTTATTTATTTTGGTACTAGGGATTGAACCCAGGCATCCACTGCTAAGCACATGTATACCACTGAGCTACCCTTACCTCAATTGTATTTTAAATTGTCAGCTTTCACATGTAGTTTTCTACTGAAATTGACATTAATTTGATTTAATCTGGACAGTAAGGGAAAGAAATTAATGTTGCCTATTAATATCTTCTAAAGACAGTGGTTAGTAAAATTCTTCAATACAGTAATTATTAAACCTTTTTACTGCTGCATATATAATAGCTGATAATTTCCATGAAGGCAATTTCTAACATAAATTTTTCTTTGAGCAGATCATGACAAGATGTTCAAGATGAGTGAAAAAATCTTACTCCTATGTGTTGGAGAGGCTGGAGACACTGTACAATTTGCAGAATATATTCAGAAAAACGTGCAGCTTTATAAGATGCGAAATGGTGGGTAAGCTTGTAGTGTATTAGTTTGCTAGGGCTGCCATAACAAAGTACCACAGACTGGGAGGCTTAAACAATAGAGCTTTTTCTCATAGTTTTGGAGGCTAGACATCTGAGGTCACGGTATCAAAGTGTCAGCAGTGTTGATTTCTTCTGAGGCCTTTCTCCCTGACTTGTTGATAACCATCTTTTCCCAATGCCTTCACATGATGCCCTCTGTACTATATTTATTTATTTATTTATTTTTGCAGTACTGAGAATTGAATCCAGAGCCTGTACATGTTATGCAAACACTCAACCACTGAGCTACATCCTCAGTCCAAATTTCTTCTTTTTATAAGGACACCAATCATACTGGATTAGGGCCTATCCTGTTAACTCCATTTGATTTAATTGCCTCTTTAAAGATTATCTCCAAATACAGTTGAATTCTGAGGTACTGGGGATTAGAACTTCAACATACGAGTTTTTAAAAGATGCAATTCAACCTAAAATCATTGGCTTATATTTAAATTTGAACTGAGAAATAATATTCTCCACTAGAGGTCTTTCTATGTGATCATATTTTTCATTTGAATCTTTCTATTAAAAAAAACCCAACTTATCTGGACCCTAAAGACACACACACACAATCAAATTAGAGTATAGCTTTATTTTAATTTAATTTGAATATAATTACATATGTAAAATGACTAGATTAAATTCATATGTGTGTGTGTATACATATACACACATATGCACATAGGTAGCACATTTAGCACTCACCTTTTTATTTTTATTCTTTTATTTGGTGGTATTGGGGTTTGTCTCGGCGTGGCGCTTGCTAGGCAGGTGCTCTACTAATTGAGCCATGCCCCTAGCCTGCACATTTAGCATTGTGCAGCCAGTTGCATAAATAGTTTTGAGGGTTTCAGCTGTGTTAAGTGCTGTGCTTAATACTGCATAGAATTCAAAGATGAATAAGGCTCCGTCCTTACCATTCAAGAACCTAAGGTACATGGTAGTTAGGTTTAAACCAGTTGAGGGTGAAGGGTGCTAATAATGCTTCTGAAGTAGAGTAGATGCAGCAGTATCTCACTGGCTGGCTGAGAGAGAGGGAACGAGTAAATATGCGTTGCTTCTTATATTAGTTTTTAAGGCCTAAGGTCAGTGCACAAAAGAAAAATTATGTTTGTTTAAAATTTCTCTTAAAGACCTTTAAATTACCTGTAAGTGCAGTTTTGGTAATACTGTTGTTTGAACTCAGGGCCTTATTTTTGCTAGGTGGACTCCCTACTACCTGAGCCATGACTCTAGCCCTTTTTTGCTCTGATTATTTTGGAGCTAGGGTCTTGGTTTTTGTTTGATCCTCCTATTTTATGCTTCCCGCCATTGCTGGGGTAAAAGGCACACACTGTCACACCCAGCTTTTTTCTGTTGAGATGGGGGCTTCACAGATTTATTGCTGGGCTGTCCTGGAATCATGATCCTCCTGATCTCAGCCTCCCAGTAGCTAGGATTACAGGCGTGAACCACCAGCACCCAGCTGAAACAGTCTTTTTATGTGGCTTGTGTGTATCCCTTTCCTTTCACAGAAGAAACCCTGGTCTGTTAATGAATGAATAACTTAAGCAAGGCTATGAATTTGAACCCATCATAGAACATTTGCCCTGGCAAGGAATTACTGTCAGTACTAACCAGCTGTCTCACAGCTGTTACATGAGGATAGGGACCAGAAGTAGGATTGTGCCCCTCAGCCTGTGGACATTATATTCTGAGTGTATAAAACATAGTGGGTTTTAAGAATGGGCATAGTGATGTTGGTCTTGGTGGAACACGCTTGTAATTGCAGCACTCTGAGGCCAAGGTAGGAGGATTTCAAGTTCAAGGCCAACCTGGGTTGCATAGTGAGACCCTGTCTTAAAAAAAAAGAAAAAGAGAAAAAGAATAGGTATAGTAAAGTGATTGGGAGTAGTATTATTCCTTCTGCTTTATTTTAAATATGACTCTCTATCTCTCGTACCAGGATATGAATTATCTCCCACAGCAGCAGCTAATTTCACACGCCGAAATCTGGCTGACTGTCTTCGGAGTCGGGTAAGGAATATAGCTGGTGGCCTTAGATAAAAGCGGAAAGATTTTCTGTGCTTCTTTTATAGCACTATTAGACATGAGCAGTGTTTTTGCCCTTTTTGGCTTTCCTGAATCCTTCTCATTGGTTTTTATTTCTTTTTTAGTCCTTTTGAATTTGTTTTCTCTTTGGGCACTGTAGTTAATTACAGCCCAGAAACCAAGTATACCTTCTCAGAGAATTTGACTGAGAGCTGGACTTGGTGCCACACCTGTAATCCCAGCACTTGGGAAGCTGAGGCAGGAAGATCTCAAGTTCCAGGACAGCCTGGGCTACATAGTGAGACACTGTCTCAAAAAAATTATTTTTGGTTAGGGGCCCACTAACATGAAAGTCTATGCCAGCCTTTTTTTTCCTTTAAGGACTTAATTTTTTTGGAGCAGTTTTAGACTCAGCAAAAGAGGAAAGTACAAAGATTTCCCATATAAACTCTACCCACACACTTTATAGCATTCTACATTATCAGCATCTATACCTGAGTGGTACATTTGTTACAACTGATGAACCCACATTGACAGCCAAAGTTCCTAGTTTATATTAGGGTTTACTTTTAGTGTTGTACGTTCAGGGGGTTTGAACAAATGTGTCCTGTATCCATCATTATAGTATCATACAGAGTATTTTCATTGCCCTAAAGATCCTCGGTACTCCTCTTATTTATCTTTCCACCAGCTCAACCATTGATGATAACTAATCTTTTTACAGTTTCCATAGTTTTGCCTTTTCCAGAATGTCAGATAGTTGGACTCATACCTTATGTGGGGTTTTGAAATTGACTTCTTTCACTTAGTAGCATGGATTTCCTGTCTTTCCACAGCTTGACAGTTTCTTTCTTTTTAGCACTGAATAACACTTTATTGTCTAGATGTACTGCAGTTTGTTTAGCCATTCACCTACTGAAGGACATGGTGCTTCCAAGTTTTCACAATTATGAATGAGTGTACTGTAAACATCCATGCTCAGGTTTTTGTTTGGACATAAGTTTTCAGCTGTCTTGAGTAAATACCAAGGAATATGATTACTGGCTGGTTCATCCAGTAAGATGATATTTAATTTTGTAAGAAACTGTTGAAAAAATTTTCCAAGTATTTCCATAGCAAAGAATTTTTTTAAATTTCTGTGGTTAAATAGCCCTTCATGGCAGTGGAGGTAAATAATGTAGATTTTTATTTTAAGATTATTTATCTGTGTCTTTTTATGATCTTTTTTGCCAAAGCACAGGGATTGTACCTCATTTATTCTAATCTTATTCTATCATAGAGCTGCCTCAGTTCCATTGACAGCATGTTAAAAGATGAAAGTTAAAGATTGAATGCATTAAAGATTGTATAAGATGTGCCAAGAAAGTTCATATGATTGCTAAGGGTGTGTATTATTCCTTTACCACAGGGACTAAGTAAATAGAACCTTACCACGTGACCTTACCCCCTGTGCCTGTTTACTCATCTATGAAATCAAGATAACTTCCCAACCCCACAGGAGTGCTAGGAAAATGAATGCTTGTAAATCATAATATTTAACATTCATATGACTTTTGCCCAAAGCATTTTGTGTAGTAATTTAATCTACTCACTATTCCACTGAGACAGATAGTAGTTAATTCTCTATTGCTGATATAGTGAAAGGTGAAAAGTGGCAAAGGGACTAGTTCAAGCCACATAGCAGGTCAGACAAAGCTGCTATAATCACACCATAATTATTTGACTATTTTATCTTACAGTCAGCTCCTTGGTTCTTCAGTACTGTTTCTAGAACACTGATGCTATGCATGGTTTTGGTTTCATATACACTGATTTAAACTGAGTTCTATATAATCTAACAAGTACAGGTATTATATTTTTTATTAAGTTACTTACTACAGATCTTTAAAGCAGTCTATTTTCAATTGCCTGACACTGGGAAAACTCAGTACTAGCTTTGATAAGAGTTTAATAATCTGAACATGAAGTTTGAAGAGAAGCTAGAAATATGATAGACTGGAAGATTTGGAAGAGACAAATTTGCATACATTGTTTTGCATAATGATTTTCTTTTCTTTTTGTTGTGGTGCTGAAGATTGAATCCAGGGTCTTGGACATGGTAGGCAAGTGCTCTGCCAGTTTAGCTTTGCCTCCAGCCCATTGTTTTGATCTGGTGAAAAGTCAGTGGTCTCATCTTGTTCACTCCTCTTTGAGAGGAGAAAATGGGTCAGATATTAGTTTCCCCACACAGAAGTTCTGTGGCATTCAGCAAGGAGTATGCTATACTTCTTGTATAAAATACTCCTCTGACTTACCAGGCAGAACTGGAATGAGAATTTTAGCTTTCGGCACAATAAATACTTTGTCATTAAATATTGCAGACATTAAGTGAATTAAGCTTCTTTTAGAATTAAGATAAGAGTGGCACTGTGCTTCATGCAAATGCAGTGAATCCAGTTAATCTTCTCCTGGCAGAAATGTTTGATGTTTTAACAAATATCCCTTGTAGACAGTGAAATGGAGCTCTAGTAAATATTGACTACCTCTTCTTTGTGCTTCTAGTCTAGGTCCATTTTTGTTCTCCTACTCCTTATCAAAAGATTATTTGAGGGGGTAAAACAAGGGGGGAGGTAGCCCAAACAATGTAGACACATGTAAGTAAATGAAAAAACGATTAAAAAAATAGATTGTAAGCCAGATACCAGTGACTTATGCCTGTAATCGTAGCTACTCAGGAGGCAAAGATCAGGAGGAGTTTCGAAGCTAGACCCAGGCAAATAGCTTGGAAGATCCTATCTCAAAATAATCCATCACAAAGAAAGGGCTGGTAGAGTGGCTCAAGTGGTAAGAGCACCTGCCTAGCGAGGCCTTGAGTTCAAACCCCAGTACCACCAAAAAAAAAAAAAAAAAATTGTTAGTTCTATAGTTTTAAAATGTGAGTTTGTTATTTTATTCTGGAGAGAGAGGTAATGATTGTTTTGTCAGCTTTCCTAATAAGTACAAAGTTGCCAGTTTCAGTATCTTTACATGTCATACCATTTGGCATATGAGACTTACTTTGAATTAGCCAGTAACCATGCCTAACTATGTCTATAGCTCAATTAATTGTGTGTGTGTGTTTGGGGATGGCATTGGGTTGGGAGAACATTTATTTACCACAGACTATATAATGAATCTATATACTGTGTAGGCAATTTAGCATTGTTGTTGAGAGCACAATCTCTGGAATTAGACTGCTGGGATTAAATATTTGCTAGCTGTATGTTTCTGGACAAATTCTAAGTTTAATTTCCCTTCTTACAAAATAATAGTGCTTCATAGAAATATTGTGAGATTAAATAAGGCATTACCATCATGCAAAGCTCTTGTGTGTAACACATATAACTGATTAATAAATGTTTTTTGTTTTTGATGTTGCCATTCCTGTTGGGTTAAAGAAGCAATTTAATGGCTATAAGCTGGCTTCCTACGAGGGATTCTTTGTTGTGCTGTTCTAGTTGAACTGATGTGTTAATAAAGAGGGGTGGGATATAAAAAATGCTAGTATTGATAGGGAAAACAGAAGTTAGCTAACACTGAGCATCTATTATATGCTAGGATTTGTTCTAGGTCTGTCTACAGTCTGTATGGTACTGTTAGCCATATATTTAAATTTAAATTAAATAAAATTTTTAAATTATTTTCATAAAAAAGTTCAGGAAAGTCTACTGGACTTTTCCTGAATGAGAAGTAAACTTGGGGGAGTTTTTGTGTTATGTTTTGTTGTGAGTATTTTGGTGTTGTGATTTGAACTAAGAGCTCCACACATGATAAAGCATGCTTTCTTTCACTGTACCCCAACTTTCGTTTAGTTTTTTGTTTTATTTTGTTTTTCAGTTTTTTTTGAGACTGGGTCTCTCTATGTAGCCTAGGCTGGTCTCAAACTTATGACCCTCCTGCCTCAGCCTCTTCAGTACTAGGATTATAGGTATATATCACCACACCTAGTTTGTTTATTAAAAAAAAATAGTTCATCATTCACAACCACATTTCAGGTGCTCAGTGGCTATCACACTGGACATGTACATTTCTTGGACAGTACTATTCTAGATACTTACATATGTATCTATTTAAAGTACTGTTATTATGATACTGTAAGATAAGTCTTATACCCATTTTATTTATAAGGATAGTGAAACTGGTTCATAGGAGGTTAAATACTGCTCTTGGGCTGGCGGAATGGGTCAGGTGGTAGAGTGCCTACCTAGCAAGTGCAAAGCTCAGAGTTCAATTCCCAGTATTGCCAAAAGGAAAAAGGCAATGAAATAGTTCTCTTAATGTACCCAAGTACATATGTCTAAAGAAAATGTTACTTTGCATTTATACACTATCTATATAAAGATATCTTTATATCTATATATAAGATATATAGGATATACACACACATATATGTATATATATGTACATATATGTACATATATATACATATATGTACATATACTTTTTTTTTTTGACAGTACTGGAGTTTGAACTCAGGGCCTTACATTTGCTAGGCAGGTGCTCTACCATTTGAGCCACTCCACCAGCCTTAAGGTATTTTTAATTAAAATGGAAAAATTCAAAATCCTTCATTTTAGGTTTTCTTTTAAATGCATGTGTACATTTAAGTTGGTTTATTTCTAATTTAGACCTCAAGGAGCAGAAAAAGATTTATTTTGATTTTTTTTTTAAGTGTTTGATTCCTCATTTTCAAATATCTATGTGACTTCTTTAAGCATGGGGTTGGAGTCATTACCATTTTGTTTGTCCTTCCGATAATTTTTTTTTTTTTGATGGAACTGGAGTTTGAACTCAGGGGTTTGCACATGCAAAGCAGGCACTCTACTGCTTGAGCTACACTTCTGGTCCATTTTGGTCTGCTTATTTTGGAGATGGGATCTTGAGAACTATTTGCCTGGGCTGGCCTTGAATGAATGGCAATTCTCCCTATCTTAGCTTCCTCCTAGGATTACAGGTGTGAGCTACTG